TCGATATATCCTACAAGGTCAATTTAAGCCCTTTACCGCTCACTGTTCTTCATCACAGATCTAAACTTCGTAGTTTGATAATTATCTTTAGACGTAGTCGTACGAAAGATGGATACCACTCGACTTGTAATGCAGAGAACCCCAACAGCGTATCACGAACCTCTAAAATGGCCAGTGAACTTCTCATAGCATCTTCTCAAGGTCCATTAGTAGCAACAAAGGTCTAGGTTCTCGTTCCATTATTTTGTTGAGAAGTTATGGTGTAAAACGCCCCCAAAAGGTATTCTAGAAAAGTTGCAATCTCATTGGCATTCGAACGAAAACATCAAAAGAGTATGGAATCTTAAAGCCCTGGTGTCGACAAAGGTATTATTCTAGCCAATGAAACTAAGTATGCTGAATAAAGCTCCGCGACTCTCAGAAAATACAGAGCCATGATTTGCTTAAATCACTTGCCAGCCATATAGTACGAAGGGATGCTGCGACAAGTGTACAGAACCAATTGTCTATTAACATACTGCTTCACATATTCAGCTGGCATATTTGCTCTTATGAATGAAAATTCGTAGATGTAGCCATTTTAATAAGTATCTTTCTTGCGTGCGACATGACAAAAGAGCCACAAAGCACTGTTACTGCGAGATTCCATGGAAAAAAGCAAACTTATGCAATTTTCCGTTCTACCGAAAGTGGTGATTCAGATGGCAACTGCATTTACCTCATCATTTACCTCATGTTCAGAACGTATGAGATCAGTACGGTGTAGTGCGCGCACTTCACGTATGAAAGACGTGATTTCTACGTAGATCGAAGGCAAGAATAGAGGAATAATGCAACCTCGTGGCATACCGAAATTGTTTTGCAGCTGTTAGAAGCGCGCATCAGCACGTTTGGCGAATTTAGAATGGACTGGGCGGTATGTAAAGGCAGTATTCGGATTCATAACTTAACAACACCGATAGCACAATGCTGCCTGCAAATCTGGTTAACCGAACACTGTCACTGGCCGAAGATACTAGAAATCTGTTACTGGGGATTTATTTCATCGCTTGTATCACGCTGGAAATCTGCCGGGACGCCAGCATAAATTTATGCAGATAAATCTTGAACGTATATGACCGAATTCTTTGTTGCAGTGCTTTAAAACAGCTAGCGACACAGCATCCGGACTCGGGGAAAATCGATGGATCTGTCAAGACCTTCCGAGCGAGGTGCCATTTTCATCAGAAAACAGTACTGATCGATATATTCTGAGATAAAGTAGGTGCCTCTTCGTCTTCAAATCATAGGCAACACTCGGCTTCAACGTTTGGTAAAGGAATAGATGAACCATACCTATGAACCATGCCTTTGAGCTATTACCAAAATTCACGCTGAGAAGCC